GGTCATGCTTGCCTCCTTGAGTCTAGCAAGCCTCTGACTAGTGCATGTCTAAGCTTATAAGACGTGGTGGTGCTGCCAGTTAAACCGCAGAAGCCTCTGTGCTGCAAGGTCAGAAGAGCTGCAGTCGTAAGATCGAATCCACGTGACGGAGTAAGCTCCCGTCGCGTGTCCCAGCTCCTGCCAACCTAGCAGTTCGAAAGCATACAAAATTCGAGTAGATAAATAGGTGCCACCACGGTAGGAAGGTAACGGCGTTCCGTGTCTAAGTCGCACTGGCCACGTGACCACGGAAGATTGTCTTCGGACAAACACTATCTCTATGGGTTGGAAATGGAGATGAGCACCGCTGCCTAGAGTCGGACACGACTGGACAAATTGTCAAGGGGAACCTTTATCTTTACCCAAGCTTATAAGGGACAGCGACTGCATCTAGTAAAACTGAAAAGATCTGCTCAGTTTCATTCTACTCATTGATTCAAATCTTGTCATTGCCTCAAATCCTGTTGTGCTGCCACACAGAAGGTGTAACTTCTGGAGGTAAACTGCCCCAAGATCAGACATTTCCATAGACATTACATGTTGCATGCTGAATTTCACAACTCAATGTGCAACAGATGATGTCTACCGAAATGTCTCAATTTCAGGTAATTCACCCCCCAAAATCACACTTTACAGCAGCAAAGCAGGATTTCAGCCAGTAAAAGCAAAGAACTTTGTCCTTGCAAAAATGAAATTATCAGCGCATTAGCTTCTGATACCATTGTTTGAAGGTTTATGGGCACTTTGACGCTTTTCAATCTATTCTAGGTGGCAGTGTGGGCATCATCATCATCACCATATACATCAGTTGAAGCTAGATTAATTAGATGCCAAGGGGAAAAATCATGTAAATAAAATAAATGCTTGGTTACATGGATGATTTCACAACCAGCATGATACATGTAAAAAAATGTAAGATTATCATTAAAATGTTTCTATTCAAAATGTTTCTATTCAAGATCAGAAATGATAAACACTTTTTTGATTAAAAATAAAGTGGCAGAGTAATTTGATTATAGCTTCAATCAGATACCATATTCTAGAGGAGAGCTATGTCTTTGAAACTACACAACTCTTTGCCTGCATAACTATGATTTGCACATTTGAAATGATAAATTTAAGGTTATCAATAGTAAATCGATTGCAGGTAATGCAGATAAACCTAGAATGATTCATCATATCAGTACACTGAAAACACAAAGAGGACGGAGAAGCAATGCAAAATTTTGACTTCAATTTAAATTCAGGTTTTAGGTTTTTCAAGGACAATTCTTTCTGCAAAAGTTTAACATGCACATAAAATCATCCATCAGCACATCTGATCTAAATAACCTAATGATTTTTATTGGTCAAATCTTGAAAGCAAGGTTTATTTTAATGGCGTATGCATTAATTAACCCAACATGTACTATCTTTCAGCATATCTGGCCAAGCACTTTCATTTACACATGCTTATTGTGAAATGTTTGCATTCCCAAGATTTGAAGCCCACACACAGATTATTTCATACTTCTCTTCTGAGCACTTTACAAAAGTTAAAAGAAGTTATTGTTTTTGATTAATGCATTTTTTTAAAGCGTTCCCAAAACCAGATGCTCAGAAGAAAACACTGAAGCAGCATTCATACCGAAAGAAGTACTTAAACAGAAGTTATACAGGACTGACTTTTGTTCCCTTTAGGTATCCAGAGAATTATATTTTGCACTTCTGCACAAAAATCATGTGAGTTTTTAAAAAACATTCTAATAAATGATTTAACTGTATCAATTGCTTTTTTAAAAAAATTAAAATCCCCCCACAGTACAAACACAGATATTTGGGGTGGCGTGTTACAGATGGAAGTTCTAAAGCGGCCGTTGTCATCTTTTGATTAAGAAAAGGAAATGATTTCATGAAAAAGACATTCCCTCTTGTGTTGTTTTGTTTCAACTCAGTTTGTACTTTCCACCAAACTGGACATATTTATTGAGTCTCATAAGTTACTTCACGGTTACCAACATCACTGTAATCTCAACAAACTATCTTTTTTCTTGCCAATTATCTAAATATCATAACTATAAAATATCTTAAAACATTCTCTGTAGTGTAAACATCTTAGCTACAAAGCCTTAAGTGTAAACAGTATGATGCATCAGAATGATTTTAAGCGATGTTATAAAAACTGCTCTTAAAAACTAAACAAAAATGTAAAGCTTCCATCTGGTTTATGATTTTTCCACTGCAGAACTGCTGCTGTGTGCCAGTTTACTGAACCATGGCTGGCTGAAGATATTGCTGGGGTCACAGAGACTTGAAAGAACACGACTTTAATGGCTGGGGGGGGG